TTTCTAGGGCAGCTCACCAATCTGCCGTCCCTCAGGGTGATCAAGAGAGAGTGAGTAAGAGGGAAGACGGTGTCTTTTGGTTACCTAATCTTAGAAGTGACTTCCCACCATTTTAGGTGCGTTCTGCTCATCAGAAGCAGGTCCCTGGGTCCAGCCTGCCCTCAAGGGAGAAGATCGAACACCAGGTGGCAGATTCACTCCGAGCCATGTTGGTTGATGCCTACAACAGTGGAAGATCCACACATACTTCTTTTGTTATTATCTACGTGTCTCGTGCGTTCAGTTCTTTCCCCTACACTTGACATGTAAACCTCTTACAGAGAAAAATAACCTTGGTGTCCCAACTATGATGCCTTGCATAGTGTCAGCAGATAGCACGTAGGTTTCCACTGTTTAATTATTGAATGACACACACGGAGAGCTCTTATGATTAGTTATATGCCGGTGCATACAGGTGTGCACTTGTAAACATCTGCATTATTTTTGTCAAATAAGATTGATTTTTATTTAAAGAAAATTGCATCTTTATGATGTTTGATGTTGTCTCATTATGGCACCTTTGTCATTTTAAGATCACTCAATTCTACTTCACAATTATTTCTGTTAAAATTTAATAGTTGCTCAAATTTGTTAAATGAAGTTGTAAAATTATTTACTTTTTAGAATTTTATTATGAAAAAAATGCAAGCATATACATAAATAGAATAATATAATGAACCCCGTTGATCCGTTAACCGCCTTAAACAATTACTAATATTTTGTCAATTTTGTTTCATTTCTCCCCACCTCACCTTGAGTCATTTAATGTAAATCCCAGACATTCTATTATTTATTTATAGATAATGGAATATACATCTCTAACAGATAAAGTTTATAACAAAACAAAACAAACCTTCCATTCTACTACCCTATCTAGCAGAATGAATGGTAATTTCTTAATAACATCTATTACCTATTCTATGTTAAAATTTCCTTGATTGTCCCAACAATAACTTTTTATAGTTAGTTTTAATTGAAATTTAAACAAGGTCCATACACTTTGATAAGTATGTGAAGTCTCTTCATTTATAGAAGGTTGTGGGGTAAATGTAAATGGTAAATTTTGTGTAAGCAATACAGTGGGCTTTCTTGTCTGTTTAGCCTAGTGTCCATTTCCCCCCTTCATAGCCGCAGCACCCTAGTTTCCTCAGGTGTAATTAGTCCTTTCCGTTGATTATGAGAAGACCTGGTTGTAGTCCCGAATAATCAGGAGCACCTGACCCATCAGATATTCCTTCCCCTGGCCTTGAGCACAGAAACAAGACAGTTGGAATACCATTTTATCTTAACAGCTACATCTAATTGAACCCGCTGTGGATCATTGGACTTCCTGCTGTCAGAGACCTTGGACCCCTTCCTCTTTCAGTTCATTGGACTCCTAATAGCCTTCTAAGACATGTCCCTTTCGTTTAAGGAAACCAAAGTCAGTTTCTTTTGCCTTTATCTGGAGACCGCTAATTGATAAAATATAAATTCAAAAGGTTACTATAATCATTTTCTTAGAGTTTTTATATTGTTTCTATTCACATTTTCTCTAATCTTACTTCAGTTTTTACCTTTTTCCCTGTTCCTCAAAGTATATATATATGTGTGCATATATATATTTTTTGCCTTTTCTATTCAAATTAGCAACATATTCTTCTTTGTTCCATTTTTATCCAATTAAACTAAAAGGAAACTCCTTAATACTGCTGTAATACCATTGAGGGCATTTGTAGCACTGGCATTTAGCCAAATTTCGGCCATCACTGCCCTGGCAGGATGTGTCTGCTTCTTTGGCAGCCTCTTGATTGGAATTATAGGTGTCTGACCCACCGATTGTCTGTAAAAAGAAACAAGTCTGTCACGTTATATCTGTAATACCATTCCCTAAACACAAAGTCTGAGGAAAATTCTGTTTCTGATTTTCAGTTGGAAATGTAGCCTGTAGAAAATTTTGTTGCAGATTGTTCTTAACAGTGGCAGAACGAATTCTCTCCAGGGATTCTCGATGTTTTTAGCTAAAGATCTGTTTTCTTCACACCCTTAGCCTCACCTTACTTAATGGATTGTACCAGTGAATAATGGACTCCTTTGAATGTAAATATTCTTTTATGAATTCACTACTGGAATAATTCTGAATATTTAATAAATATATTCAATAGCCTGATACTGATGCTGTGATAACTTTGTAAATTTATTATGTATCGTAAATTTCCAGAATGTCATATTCTTAGCCAATATGTAGAAATGTTTTTAAAAACAGATACTAAAGAGATTTTATTAAAAATAGCAATTTAGGGACATGGTTTTTTGAAACTTTTTCTAAATGAACAGCAATTAAAATGTTTATAAATATGTTCAAATCTCAACTATGTTAAAATTAGAAAACTGCCACCTCATGTCACAAACTCTGAAGAATATAGACAGACGCAGTTTTAAGTCAAGTGAAAAACTGAGGCTTCAAGCCAATAATCAACTCTTTTTCTTGAGAAGGTGCTAAAAGTTATAGGAATAAAAGAAGAAAAGGAGCAGTGTGGAAGAGGGTAGCATAAGAAAATACAGAGGGATATTTATTCAACAAGATGGAAGAATTGTTTTACCACAGCTACTTCACCCTGCCAAGGACATTGAAAAAACGGTTGGGTGAAGGAGTGCTCAGTGAGATGGAAGAAGACAAGAAGATATGATTAAAAGTAACTGTTGAGGCAAGAATTTTGAAGATAGACCAATAATATAAAAAACTAAAATTTCAGAGTGGCTGCAATAAGCAGAATTGACACTGCAGAGAGGAAAAATTTAAAAATCATACAGAATGCAGAAACAAAAGATAAGAAATAAGACTAAGAAAAAGTGATATATGCTCTGGAAAGCAGGAGATCAGATAATTGCTGTGTCTGAAAAAGAAGCTAAATAAGTCAGTAAGAATTCAGTGAATAGTATTTTATTTCTGAAATTGTTAGAAGAAGTACATTTTAACATTTTACTCAGAGACATACACTGTCACTAGTAAAATAAGAGCAAGCTGTATACTGTCCAAATTACCAGAAAAAAACAGATTTTCAAATGTCTTTGTCATAAAGCAAAAGAAAGAAAATAGGAAAGAAACATAAAAATGTAAAGATAAGTTGAATGGTAAGACCAAATAGCTACTGAAATCTATGTAGCTGGGATAGTATTTAACTCAGATTGGGTTACAAAGAGAAAACCTAACATGGCCTAAATTTTTTTGTTTTAATTTATTGTAGAGACGAGGTCTCACCAAGTTGCCTGGGCTGGTCTTGAACCTACGGACTCAGGCAATTCACTTGCCTCGGCCTCCCAAAGTGCTGGGATTACAGGCTGAGCCACCGAGCCCAGCCCGTGGCCTAAAATTTATATGAGAAAGATTGGCAATGATATTTCAGGGGAATGTGAATAGCACTTGAAGGGGTTGCAATATTATGATCTAACGCTATTGAATTTAAGATAAAAGTATTACATGGGAGTAGAAAACTTTGTAATGCTGAAGTGTGCAATCTACCCTGATATATAACTCTTTGGGACTAAATAGTGCATTGAATATACCACTGAAACAGTGGGAATCTATAAGAAAAGAAAGTATTACAGATATTTTATGGATGTAGATTCCTACCTACTTCTTTGGAATTATTCCCCTGGCTCACATCCGATATGAATAGAAACTTCAATTTTTTTCTAATTTTTTTCTTTTAGTTTTTTTGTCTATACTTTGCAGCCACTGCATCATTGCACTTTGAATGTGAAGTATGCAGCCCATCAAGCCTACCACCCTTTGCTCTCATCAGACCCTCTCATCTTCTATTTCACAAGGAAGTAACCACATGACCCAAGTAACTTTACCTGTCTCCTACACTTCCTCACCTACAAACTGTTTCTTTATATAGTAGATGTTTCTCATTCTAACACTAATGCTTGCCATTTCCCCGGAACTAAAGGTGTCAACATCATTTCTTAAGCATATGTTTAACAGACCCATATCCCAAGCTCAGGTCTCTTCTGTGCACACATCCATAGAGCCATCTGCCTCCTGGACCTCTGTCTCCTGGAATGTCCATCACACATCTCAGAATCATTACCAAAATTCACCTCATCTCTTTCCTCCCTGATCTTGTTCTTCCTCTAGAGACCCTTCAGTGGAAGGGACTATAATCAGTAAGAAGGCTCATTTCTCCTTCTAAAAACTTTGGTTCTTGATGGTAGTATCCTAAAAGGATATGTTATAGATTTTGTTTGAATTGTGGGTCCACTTGTATTATGATTGTTTTAGCTATGGACAAAAACATTTTGTCATATTTGCAGAATCAGGATCCTTTTGACAGTGGAACATTTGGGACAATTAATCTCTACTATACAGTTGCTGCATTTTGGCCTCAGATTCTCGCCTTTGCTATGGGTCAGAAGCGCTCTTTCTCTTAACTTTGAGAAACTGGGAAGCAGCATTCTCCATTGCTCAAAGAAGATATGGACTCATAAGGAACAAATTTTTAAAAACCCTGAAAGATGATACAAGCATACGTCGGTAGAACTACTAGGGTGGGGAGATGGTGCTGGTGGCGCTTGGCAGTGGTGGGGGAGTAGGGTTGTACAAACAGGCTGTAGGTATAAAAGAGCGAACTTTGGATAAGCAAGTTGAGCCTTGCTTTTACTCATTGGCAGTAGCACCGTATCGTTACAAAGCATTGTAAGAACAGATCAGTGTTGATTAATGTATATCTTAAAAGGTTGTGCTTTCCTGAGGAAAAAATCAAGTTTCAGAGAATTTTTAATTGCCCTTTCTTACCCATTAAAGAGTAGAAAGAAACTATTTTTACACTGTCTCAATTTGGAAGAGTTTAAGAACATAATTTTTCTACTAATTACATTTCGTGTTTGTCCTGTATTTTTTTTTATATTTTGTATCAAAACTATAGTGACAACTTACTATAACATAATCTGAATTTAGGATTCTCAGGGGGAAAGGGATGGATGTAGGAGTGATGGTGCTCGTAGGTGATATTTGTGTGAGAGAGATTTTTATGTTTATGAAAAAGGAAGTGAGTGGATTTCTAAGATTGTAGCCTTAAAATGTGAATATTGCTTTAAAGTGGTTGGAATTGGTAGGACTGGAATGAAGGTTGAGAACCTCAGATTTCAGATCTTTAAAAAAAATCCTCACTCTAGTTACTTCCAGCTATGAATACAGCTGAATATCATTTGAAAACATTTTTCTGGTTCTTTACCATCTTTTATTGAAGGTGAAATCTTAATACCTTGGCGGGAAATTCCTAGTGCCGCAATATAAAAGGACCAGCAGCATATATGTGTGTGTGTGATATAATTACCAGTGTTTTAAAAAGAGATGAAAGCCCTTATTTCTACAGTCAGTATGTTGTACCAAATCCCACCCTGTCCCCCTCTTCAGCTGGCTCTGTCAGCCTCTGGGGTGCGTAGCTCTTTGATTCCAGGGATCTTCAGCTTTCAGTTTTGGGCTCTTGTCTTGTGCCCAGGAGGAATGAGGGACACAGACAGCCAGAAGGTGGGAAAGCAGGATTTATTCAGAGGACAGAAAAGCTCCCAGAGCAATAGGTCTCTAGAGGGTTGCCCGGACCAAATTAATAATAATAAATCTGCTCAATATTTAGTGAAGCAGTTACTTCGTTTTATCAGTTTTATGGAAGACCATGGAATGAAGTCTCAAACTAAACCAAAAGACATTTAACAATAGGCTGTATTTTTACCCTTAAACATGGTGAGAACCCACATTCTGAGGTATTCTTCCCAAGAACATGCCCATTTGTTCCCTTGTCTTCTGCTTACTGGTTTCTGGCTGCACATGGCGTTAGCCTCTTTTTATTTTATGTGTGTCAAATATCACAACTCACTAACATTGACCAGTCAGTATCAAATGTGGATGCTTATAATGGATAAGGAGATACCATATTACTTACAGGTATTTTGGGTTGTAATGTGTTCAAAAGCTAGTAGCATAAACTACTTTGAGCAGGGGACAAATTCTAACAGCTTTATTAACAAACCTTTTTTACTTTGTTTCCAGAATCCTGTCAACCGAGTACTATAAAAAACAAACACAATTTGTGAAAAAAATCACAATTGCTTGAATATCCTGTTTTATGTAGAGATGATGGCCTATAAGATTACTGTTTAATTTAAAATATTTCTATTTCTTTCCATTTATATTTTGTTAGGTATTCAGGCTAAAACATATGCCAGTTGTAACTACAAAGAAAAATGTTGGAGCCTCAAGACGTGAAACTTACACAGAGGATTTTATTAAAAAGCAAATTGAAGAGTTCAACATAGGAAAGAGACATTTAGCCAACATGATGGGTGAAGATCCAGAAACTTTTACCCAAGAGGATGTTGATGTAAGTACAGTTACTCTGCTGGAAAAGTAATTGCTGTAGAGTTTTAGGTATTGAAAGCACTTTTCTTCAGCATGAATCCCTTAGCTCTGTGTAAGTTTTAATCAAACTGTCAAAATAAACAAAAATGCTACTATACATTGCAAGTTGGAGCCGTGGTTTCAAAAAGAGATGCCACTCTGAAGTTTGCAAAATGGCGAGTTGTAGATTTTAACTAGAAATGAATACTTTGATTCAAGGTCATAGAAGCCACTGTAAACATGTATACACTATTTGGAAATGTTTATCCTGTTGTGTAGTCTCAGAATAAAGACTCAGCTTTCTTACAAAATGATAAAACAAATGGTAATGGAAATAAAGTTATATTTTAGGAAGTCCCATAAGGAAACCTTGGACCAGTGTTTTTATCAACTGAAATGTTTATTTGAATTTTCAAAATGAGGGCATGTTCTAAGTAATTTGAGAATTAGGATTATAATTCTATTTCTATACCAATCTTAAATTACTATATTCCTGATAAAAGTAATAATGGCCAATAATTTTTTTTCTAACTGACCCATGGTAGACAACTTTGAGTCTTGTTCTGATTTTTAAAAAGTAGCATCTAAAACCCATGGTGTTTTATATTTAATTGAAGAAGAGCATCTTTGTATAAATAATCACATTTTATATGATTTTAAGTACATTATTATTCAAATCATTTTATAGTTTTGGTTTAATTCTATCTTTTTATATACTCTTCCTTTTTTGACTCAACCATAAGGATGTCTTATTGCCCTTCTAGGTTAGGTGATTTGGAGTTAACAGACCTCGTAGCTGCTGTTTTCTTTTTGAATCTAATGGTAATCTGAATAGAATTGATAGATGTCAAGAAATCTGTATTTTTATAGTGTTTAGATTGTTATCACTGGTAATGTAGGTGTTTTCCACTTTTGAAAGTGGAAAGTAGAGCACAATAATGCTAAGCATCATGTTTAAATATGTTAGTATGAAAAAGGGGAGAAGCTCCAAGACTTTAAACTTTGAACTTATTGTTCTTTTCTCATATCTGTCTCATTCCATTGACCATAGACATCTGGCAGTATAATGTATTATATAATTTCTAAACTGAGACAACTGCATACTCAAAAAATTATGATTTTCAAGAATGAAGAAAACTAAAAGTAGTATCTGAATACTCAAATATGATTTTCATAAGATTAAAGAAAAGGGAAAAAAAATTTTCTTTTTCTCTTTAAAAAGATGGTGGACTAGTGAGCATCTTAGCACAAATAGTGGTCATACTACAGGTTTTTCTTTTCCAAATAGGAATACAACCTTTGCTCCCCTGAGTCTTCTCTCCTGAGACAGCTTCTTTTGCTGTTGCCTTTTTTTGGCAGCTTATTTTTTGAGGCATAATTCACATGCCATTTAGAGTGTATGTTTACTTAGTTTTTAGTCTATTCACAGAGTGGTGCAGCTGTTGGGAGCCAGCCATGGAGGCCCACTGAGCGTTAGAGATCAGGAAGGGCCATTGACCCCGAGACTACTAGGATGCGTTCGGGAGCTATTTGACCCCATTTCCTCCCCCTTTCTACTCAGCACTAACCAGATTAAGCTCCTGTGAGCTCAAAACATAAAAACTCTGAGACCGGGACGAACACAAGCTAACTCTAGAAGCTCATTGCTCCCATTCTTCCGCAAACTGCAGTTTTGGCTTTCACACAACTTATAATTCAAACTCGTGTCACATCTAAGCGCCTTAGTATTGGTCACAGGCTTCTGGGTCATGTTCTTAGGATTTATTGAAGGTGTAAATTGTAGAATATAGTTTTAGAAGACAGCCATTTTGTTGAAAGAATGCAGCTGGGTTACTTGCAGGTAGCCCACTGTGAACTTTGGACTGGGCCACATTCGAAACATTCTGGGATGGGCCACTTTGTTTGTAAAGTAAATACTTAAACTTCTATAGAATTGTTTAACTTGGCATAAATCAATCAGTTTAGGATGAAAAAGGTTTATAGAATATATCAGTCACGGATTAGGTTATCCTTTGTTATGGGATTTTAAGATTATCATATGAAAAGGATTTAAAGGCAATCATTGATTAAATTTTCATGGATTAAGGTTTCTGGTGGGTGGGGGACGCCCCTCCCACATCTGACTTTGTGTATAAAAGACCCGTTGTAATTCCCAATAACACACATTGCTTCTGCACTAGACTGAAGTTCAGTCTCTTTCTTTCTCTCTTCTTCCCCCCAATCGCCGACATCTCCACCTTTGGGGTACCCTGAACCCGGCTGGAGCTGGACTCCAGCATGCAGCCACGACCACAGTTTAGTTTTAGAACATTTCACCACCCCAAAAACTTGGGGTGACATATGAAACTTGAGCAGTATCCTTTAGCAGTCACTTGCCACTTCCCCCTGCCCCCCAGCCTTAGGCAAAACTACTTTCTGCTTTCCCTCTATGGACTCTGTAGATTTGCCTACTCTGGACTTGTACATAAATAAAATGTTACCATATGTGGTCTTTTGTGACTGGCTTCTTTCACTTAATGTAATGACTTCAGGTTCATCCATGTTGTAGCTTGTATCAGTACTCTATTCCTTTTTATTGCTGTAATTTCTATTGTATCAATATACCACATTTTGCAAATTCAATCATTAGTTGGTGGGCATTTGCATTGTTTCCATTTGGGGTTATTGTGAATGATACTGCTATGAGTGCATGTGCTATGAACACAAACTTTTGTGCAGGCATATGTTTTTATTTCTCTTGGGTATATACCTAAAAAACCATTGCTAATCCAAGGTCATGAAAATTTACCCCCATGTGTTCTTCCCAGAGTTTTGTAATTTCAGCTCTTGGTCTTTGATCCATTTCGAGGTAATATTTGTACATAAGGTAAGGTAGGGGACCAGCTTCATTCTTTTAATGTGGAAATTCAGTTGTCTCAATCATTTGTTGAAAAGACTCTTGTTTTCCCATCTGTTTTATCAACTATGTTGAAAATCATTTGACCGTAAATTCAAATGTTTAATTCTGAACTCTCAGTTTTATTCTACTGATCTAAATGTCTAACCTTATGCTAGTATCTCTGCCTCTGGTTCTATAGTTTTCAGAGTCTGTGTTTGGCACTTACTTTGTTAAATTTGTTCCTAAGCATTAATTTCTTTACAAAAAAATTCTATTATAAATAGAATTGTTTTATTTTTGGATTCTTTTTTGCAGGTGTACACTTGCAAAATAATTTAATTCTGCATGTATTTTGTATATTTTTAATCTACAACCCTGCTGAACTCATTTATTAATTCTGATAGTATTTTAGTGGATTCCTTGGGATTTAGTATATACAGGATACTATCAACTGCAAATAGAAATAGTTTTACTTCTTTTTTTCCAGTCTGGATGCCTTTTATTTATTTTTCCTACCTAATTGCACTAACTAGAACCTCTAACAGTGTCGAGTAGAAATGGTGAGAGTAGGCATTCTCATCTTGTTCCTGATCTTATGGAAAAGCATTTAGTCTTTCACCATTAAATACGACGTTAGCTGTGGGTTTTTCATAGATGCTGTATCAGGTTTAGTAAGTTCTTTTTCATATTTACCTTGTTGAGCTTCTTTGTTGTTATTGTTGATGTTTTATCATGAAAAAGTATTGAATATTAGTCAATGCTTTTTATGCTGTTTGATGATTGTGTGGTTTTTGTCTTTTATGGTATATTGCATCAGTTCACTTTTACATTTATCATGAGATAAATCCCATTTCATCACTGTATGTAATCCCTTTTATATGTTTCAGGGTTGGGTTTGGTAGCATTTTGTTAAGGATTTTTATGTCTAATTGATACAGGTCTGTAGTTTTCCTATGTTTGCCTGATTTTGATATCAGAGTAATAGTGGCCTCAGAATGATTTGGGGAATGTTCTCTTCTACTTTTAGGTGAGTTTGTGAAGAATTTGTATTCTTCTTGAAGTATTTGATTGAATTCACTAGTGAAGCCATCTGGGCCTGTGCTTTTCTTTGTGGGTAGTTTTATTTGCTGTTGTGTTTTTTTTTTTTTTTTTGGTGTGTTGTTGTTTCAGTGTTTGCTTTTAAAAACCGTCTTCCCTCTCTTCTTGTGGCCTCTGTGTTTCTGAGTAACTGTTCTCAGCAGGAGGATATCTCTGAGTTTGCCACCCAACTGAGTTTACCGTGAAGGCATTTTTGAGCAGCCTTTCAACAACCTTTTTGGATGTACGTGGAGCATATGTAGCTTATTGAGAGAAGCAGAATTGTTTGACAGTTTTGTAATTCTGTCTGAAGAGATAAGCATTTTCACACTGTAAATATTAAAAATGAATTACATTGTTCAGAGTTGTTAGTTGATGCTTAGCTGTTTACTCAAAATATGTTTGGGATGTTAAAATTATTTTCATGAGGATTTAATTCATAACAGAGTAGACATGGCCTATAATTTAATTCAGTTACTTAGTTAAAAGTTGAGACTCACTATAATTTTCCATAGATAAATTAGCTACCATTGTATTCAGATTGAACCATTAGTTATTTAATATATTTTAGAAATCAGTTTTTTTATGCTAGTTAACCAATTGCTAAAAAAAATGGTTTCCAAACCCACTTACAAAATTCAAATCAAGCAAAAATATTTTAAGATTTGAAACAATTCTTTTCATATATTAAAATACTTTTTAAAATTTCATTAAGGTATTTACAATGAACATACCATGGTAACTCCATCTAGAGTATACTTTTAATTTTATCTAGATAAATTGAAATATAGCTTAATGAATATAATATATGAATACAGTATATATATAATATATGAATGAAATATAATTGAACATAGCTTAGTGAATACACTATCGTTCAATCAGGTAGAAACAAATTTTTAACAGTATAGTTCATTCTGGCTCTCAAAACAACAGAATATTTTCCTGAGAAGAGATATATTTCATATCACTATGTAAATGTGAGCAGTGGCAGCTATTCTGTGCTTTAAAACTATGTGTGTGGTGGG